CCTTCCCACACTCTTGCAATATTCTAAACAATGTTGCTAAACTCTAAACGCTCTAAAAGAGCACATGATGTCATGATTTCAGCTCCCTGCATCCTCTCTGCCACCTGCCAGCACTCTCGGCCACGCCCACTGCCAGCACTCTCGGCCACGCCCACTTCTCCGCTGCAGAACGGAGATCGGCAGAGGAGGGAGGAGGAGCTGCAGGAGGAAGCTTCTCCTGCAGTGCGGGCTGCACACAGGAGGTGCTAAATAATTAAAAATAATTAATTTAAAATAAAAATTCCATGTAGATCGTACGGCTCGTCCATCAATCAACCGCGTGTCACGTCCAATTTTATTTTGAAAAACCGCGGTAGAGCGAGTCCATGAAAAACGAACAGTGAAGCAGCGAGGGACTACTGCATCCCTATCCACATTCAGAAACAATATGAAAATACGTAAGACTAGAGCCCGATTGATACATCAGTGTTCGTAGACATATTGACCCCCCATTATCGGTGATAATCAGCCCATTGTGCACTGATACAAACCGTATCCTTAATCACAAAAGGCGTAATTGTACCATGTATCCAGCAGGGGGTGCATGAAGACCACTTTCAAATCATGGTCATTCACTTTAACTTTCAGCACAGCTGAAGCAGGGAGCAACGCTGTGGAGCACATTTTGCTAAACAGAGCACGATACGTTTATTTTATCTGATCTGTAAAACAAATCAACAAAATTAAATCGTCTTCAATCCTCCCACCTGATTGTCATTAGCTACATGTCTCAAGTTAGCAAGCCGACGTCTAGCATAGCCTATTGTGTTGCAAAATTTTAACCAGAACAATAAATCTCGCGTATCGGTGGAAGTAACGTGATCTTTGTCGTCCTCAATTAAATGAATTGCTCGTCTGAAATCTTTACTCCTCTGCAAAGAAAAATAAACTCTGCTGCGGTCAATAGGCCTTCATCATATGTGACTGTTTAAGCAATGAGCAGGAAGGGAGTTCCTTTGTTTAATTCATATTTTGTAACACAACTGATAACTTTATGGTGAAGAGTGGAGGACAGAAAATGTGAACGAACGTTAGGAAGACGATTTCAAGACTTCAAGTGTCGAAACAGGTTTAAAAGTAGCCGTTTAGATTTTTGGAGGTGGACAAAGCTCAGAAATGTTAAGCCAATATATCGGTAATCGGGATTAGCCTGCGCCTCCCAATATCGTATCGGCGATTGCCAGAATTTCCATATCGGTTGGGTTCTACTTAAGACCATAAACATTACACAAAAAGACGAATACTGGATTTACTAGCAAAAGTATCGACAGGGAAGACGCACTCATAACATGAAACAAAAAAACCCCCAAAACTGCTTAATACATATTTGGAAAGGTGGAAGTTTTTGAAGAGGCGTTTACCTGGATGGCTCCGTCGTCGGTGCAGTCCGAACCGACCTCGGTTATGCTGTGCTGAAGACGGTACAGCTTTGGTTTGTCCCGCGAGTCGGACCCGTCTGGACACACAAGCACAGACTCAGTCCAGGTCAAAGAAAGCAACGCTCACGTCAGACTTGGATCATAAAGCAGCAGAAATCACATTCAACAGACAAACTGTCACTCAGAGTATAACTGATCGCTTGGAGTCAACTACTCCAACAAGAAACGGAGAAAACAAACTGGCTTGTGGAGGAATCTGCACGGCTGACGTGCTGCAGGAGGTGGGCGATTATTACAGATTATCAGTGAGCAGGGTTTAGTTAAAGCAAAACGGTGCATTAGTTCACAGTAGAAAGGAGAAAACGCTGGTTGCTTTGAGGAAAAAACCCCGTCCTGCCCTGAAAAGGCAGTTTTTTTGTTGTGATTAGGAAAGTTTTCAGGATTAACAGGTAATCTACTGTAAAACAGCATTTACAGACTAAAATAGTTTGAAGTGTGCAACTTTTACTCCAAGGACGGAAATCAGAATTATCAAGGCAAAGGTGAAATTAGCTTCCTGATGACACTTAAGGGTATTAAATATCATATAATAATATAATATAAATATTAAATTTAATATGGTATTAGAACATCGTAAGCATCTTTCACCTTAGTTAATAAGAAGTAATGCATCTTAGTCTTTGATCTACGGTTTCTTTCTGTACGATTCTTTAAATGTTTCAACTGGTAAACGAGTTTAATTGGAACTTAAAATTCAAATGCATGGAGCGCCACACAGTGTAGATTAAATACACACAAGTAATGCTTTTGAACTTGCAAAAATTGAAAATAAAAACTGTAATTTCTAGCCAAATGTTAACCTTTGTCTGTTCTGTAGAAAATTGAATGCGTCACATTAATCAAAGACAAATGGGAGAAAGAATTGCTTTTCAGGTGACGGTGTTCTGACTACTGTGAGCTAAGTGAGGGGTCAAAGGTCAATGCAGTCCCTCTCCCAAACAATCCCAGGAGCCAGAGCAACAGACAGAAGGTGCGGTGCAGTTTTACCTTCTTGATGCCGATAGGCGTAGTAGGCATAGTGATTCCTTCGGCCTACAGTAGGCAGGCAGCAGGCAGGTACAAAGGCAGAAGGACACATGCACAAGCCACACACACACACACGCGCACACACACGCACCATGACATGCCATGACAAAGTGGGAAAGAAAACAGATGAAGCAGAGGGTGAAAACGCAGCAAGGAGGAAAGAAAATGCAGTATTAACTGGTTAAACTACACACAAACACACACAGACACTTACACAGTTGTACAAATACTTTGTTTCAAATATGATCATAAGTATTTTACCCTATAAACACAAACGCAACTTATAATGAAAGCTGTTTGAACAGCAAATAACGCTTTTTGTCATATTTTAGTTACAAAACACATTACAGCCTAGTATGTACTTGGTAAGTACCCTGGATTTACTATGAGGTAACCTGTAAGTAGCCAACAAATCACTGACAGGTAAATATCCATCAAGTAACCAGTGCGTACCCTGCAAGTAACCGATAACTGGTGTGTACAGTGCAAGTACCAGATGCGTTCCCTGCAAGTAACTGGCAAGTACGAGTAACTGATAAGAAACTGATGCGAACTCTGTGAGTGATCGATATGAAACTGGTGCATACCCTGTAAGTAACTAAGTAACTGTTGCATGCATTTTAAGTAACCAACAAAAAGAACCAATATGTACTCTGTAAGTAACTAATAACAGGTATGTACCCCGTAATAAGATACGTACCTAGTACCTCTAAGGTGCATGCCTGCTACGTACTGGTTAATTACAAGGGTATTTACACTTTACATACCAAGTATTTCTCAGGTAAGTTTTGTGATGCAGTATGTGTTTCAAGCCATAAATACTCTCTTCTTACCATAAAGACAACCATAACAGGGACATACCTGAACTTATAAGGTATATACTTGGTATATACAGAGTACAAATGTACTTGTACTGGTATTTACAGGGTATGGTGGACAGTGTATTTTAACTTGTACACACATGGAAAGCACCTATTACATACCTGGCTGTATTATGCGTGGTTATTCATATTTTTATTCACAACAGTTTAATCTGTTTACAGACGATTCACAACAAAAGTTACTTCAAGTAAAGTTTGAGACGAAACAAGTTTAATCAGCTTCCAATTAAGAACCATTTCAATCAAACTAAGTAGTTTAGTTAAAGCGAATTCTGATTAATTTCACCCAACAGTAAGGTAGATTATTGATTCAGAGATCCTTCATTATTGTCCATAAGCTCTATAAGACAAGTGCAGGCACTATTGTAAACAAAGTAAAACTACATTACTACAGTACTGCCCTTTGCAGTAAACACTGGAGAAAGTTTTGACTGAAATAGGGGCCTGAACATTATCATTTTATTTGAGGTCTGAACAGCATATGGTGAACTAATAAAGTAATTAAATACTCATTCACACACACTCGTAAGCCCCTGCAACCATTCGTTACTGGAACCACCGGAATAAATCTCCAGCTCGGCTGTCGTCCAAAACCAGTCAGTCTCACAGTGAGCGCGAAGGAGTTAGTGCTGCTTCAAGTCAGGACCACTGGTCACCCCAATCCAACTCCAGCACCATGTTTTAGTGCGGAGTGTCAGGGTCACCATCAGGTCTGAGGTGTTAATGATGTAAGAGGACGAGGGGCAAAAAGGCAGAGAGAGAGGGATTACGGCAAGCCGTTTTAACATAAAATCCATTAATCTGACTATCTGTAGATATGCAAAAATGAGTTCTGACTAAGAACAACTACATTTCGACTATCCAGAATGCTAATTTAAGATATCAGTATTTACATTCTGATTAGTCAGAATAACAATTCAAGATATCTGAAAATAAATTTTGACAAGTCATGAGTACAGTTCTAAATATCTCTAAGTTAGTTTCGTCTAGCAATTTAATTGGCACTAGTCAAATCCTTATATCTAAAAATATATTTAAGATATCTTAAATAATGACGTAATTTAAGATATCTTTAACTGTAATTATGACTAGTCAGAACTAAAAGAGAGATATCTTGAAAGCAAATAATGACTAGTCAAACTTAACTTAGAGATATCGAGAACTATTTTTTGACTAGTCAAAATTCAGTTCAAGATATCTTGAATTGAAGCCTCCATACAACTTCATGGTAAATCTGACGTCATTTATACTGGTCAGAATGTAATTAGAGATATCTCAAATATGTATTTAGTCTAGTCAAAATATAATTAGAGATACCATAACTAATATGTCTAGTCATAAATCAGTTTCAGAAATCTGGAATGTAAGCGTGGTGAATCTGATTTTATGTTAAAATGGCTTGCCATATAGGATCAGTAGCAGAAACGAGCTGTTAGAGGTAGGATGTGTGACGAGGCTCTGTCCTGAGGAAGGGTCACCCCAAAAATTACTTTGGGATAACCAGAGTTTACATTTTAGTCCAACTTACCTGATCTTTAAGAAGAATAAAAACAATCATCCTTGATTCTGCTGCTCTGTGCGTGTTTCAACTTCAGTTTTCTCTTTTTACCACAAACAAACTTCTAAACAGTAGATTCAGTTGGGGAAAGACGTATAAGGATATATTCATGGCCGATTCAAAAAAAATAAAAATGACCCAAACATATTCTGATCTTGAATAATTCAAACTTTCACAGAAACATGCAAGTAGAAACATTCAGCTTCGTGAGCAAAAGAATAATATATATATATAAATAATGCGAGACCTTTCCTAGGCCTGTCACGATAAAAAACAAATAAATTAATCGCACGATAAATGAAAAGATCGACCTCGTTTTCATTTATCGACCTTATCGTTTCTTCGTGTCTCTCTCTATTGAAGACACAAAAGGCTCAACTCCGGTGCTCTTCACCCTTTCTCTTTAAAATCGGTTTTAACCGTACAAAATCGCGTTTTTGGACCGTTAATAGCAGCTAAGCTGAGAAGCTAAGCTACGAGCTAAGCTAACAGGCCGACCTCCGAAAAAACCTCTGTCTTGTCAAAGCTCCAAAATTCACGGTTGAAACTCGTGCCTTCGTGTAAAAAGTTGTTTTTCTCTGCAAAAAGAAGCTGAGAACTTGTTTACTGATTATTTTATCAACAGCTTTGTGTGAAAAATGCTAAAGAGCTCAAACCACACCGAGCATTCGCCATTTTGAGAACCAAAAAAAAAACAAAAAAAACCAACCAGACAGCCCGTGTCACGTCAAGGGGCCTCCCTCCCATTTTTCTTAGAGATACGCTGCTCGCTCCCGCACTATTGTAGTGAACTAGGCCTCAGGTCGAATCTGGCCTTGAGGGGCTGCCTGGAACAAGAACTGTATTTCATTGATTTGAGTCCAGAAACACAAGATCAAGTCCATCCAGAAGACTTTCTAAGTGTCCTGCACTGATCAATTGAAAGAACACTCTCTTTTTCTATTATCATTACTATTTTACAAATGTTTTGATAATCAAATTGTTTAGTTCAAACCATTTTTAAATGTTGAAGTGAACTAATCATTTTTAAATCCGCTGTGAAACAGTATTAGTGACTTTAATCCTCATTCAAAGTAGAAATCAGGTTAATGATGCATTGTCTGATTTTCTGTCTTCAATGAGCAAGTTGTGTAAGTTGGTCAAAGTTCAAGTTTCGGTCAACTGCAAGTTTACTGAAAAAGAAATGTCATGTTTAACTTTTTCAGGCAGATATGAGAGAGTTGACTCCACGAAGTCTGAGTTCTTCATAACAATCTTCTGTCTGTTCTTAAACACTTAATCTTTTTCCTTGACTTTTTAATAACCTCTTACATCA